AGAAACATTAAATACCTCATGTGTACATCCAAAGCTGCACTTTCATCTCTAAAAGAGATGTAATGAGGTAAAATGATCAGCAATCAGCTGTACATTTGACATCTGTTTTCCCCTTTTGTCTGCTTATTTTATTAGCTTGGTACTATTTTCCATTACACATGATTCAGTATCAAATGCATTATCCTTTTTACTCTTTTTACAATGGTGGCTAAAATGTCACAAATAAGAAGTATGTACATTAATATTATCTTGATTTAGGACCTCTGCCACTGAAGAAGCCAGGGCTTATGATGTTGCTCTGAGATACCTCTTTTTAAAACTGTCTCATTGCGTTGTTTAAGTGGTTTCTGTATTATTAATGAATTAATGTTGTATTCGTTGTAAAGTAGTGATAGATCCCAAAAAACTATAGTGTATTAGTTTTGACTTTAAAATAGTTCAACTTAGAGAAGCTTAACAATGGTGGTCTGAATGTCAGCTTAAATTTCACCAAGAAGCAGCGTGCATTACACTGGTGTGCTATTTAATACTTGTATGAGGAATAGCTAAATCTGGAGGGTGACAAATAATTGTTATCCATGACCTCCTCTGAAGAAACCATTGTAACAAGTTTTAGCTGACAGCAGACACTAGGACCATCATCAGTGTTGATGGTTGCTGCTAATTTTGACAGTTTAATAGAAAAAAATCATGATTTATTCCATCACCTTGATACATTATCTGCAGATAGGATAGGTAATTCTCTTCTCTCTTGTACTTCTCTTTGAGTAGTTGATCTTATTTTATTTCTTACAGTGCTTATTTTATGTGGCTTCAGCTCTGTCAGTTTATTTAGATTGTTTCAAAGCTCCACACCAGAACTTAGGATTTAAAATGGCAGAGTAAAAATATTTGTACTCTATTCTGTCTGAAGTTACCCTCATACAATACAATACAGATTCCCATAGACAAATATTGCTGTAACTCCAAACTGAAATATTTGAAAAATGGTTGCCACGTGTAAAAAGAAGATCCTTGTAGAAAGAGATCTCTGAACTGACAGAACAAAGACATGGCTCTTCTGTTTACAGTAGGTCAGGACACATAGGGAGGCATGGGAGCATCCATAGATGTTTGGCAGCATGAACTAGCAAGTAGAAAAGCAAATAAGGTATACACAAGTGCACTATCCTTACAGCAAAGCAGAGGGAGAGATTGCCACAGACTCTTTGGTACCTGTTTCTGACATCATGAAAGAGTAATGTTTTAACTGTTCCTAACACCTAATGTATATTCTCCAATTTTCTCACAAACACATGTGTATAAACTGTTCTGTTGGAAAGAAATTCCATCTAGTCTAGAATATAATGCTATTCCCTCCTACCCCATTATTCCTTTGAATAACTAGTCTTGGGGTACTCAGGCCATTCAAAGGTAAGTAATTAAAGGGAAATGAGCATGGTCCATGAAAAATGCTACAACAAGAAGGAAATAGACCAGAAAACAAGTGACAACCCATGATGAAATTGTACAGCCTAAGTGAGTGGGGTAGTTTATGAAATAGTTAAACTTTTGAAATGAAAGACAGAGGACTCAGTGATTAATATATGTAGTACTCCTCTGAGTGACTTGAGTTTGCCTCCTAGTACCTATATCAGGTGACTCAATAACCCCCTGTAACTCCAGTTCCAGGGGCATTGGCCACCACTGTCCTTTATGTGCCCCTGCACACATGCGAACATACCCATGCATGTACTTATAGTTAAAAATCATTTAAAAAATCTCTAAATAAAAAATAAAATCTCTAAAATGACATTATTGTCTGTACCTCAGTGATAATTTGCCAATCTGGGAAAGAAGCCTTGGGTTCAGTTAGTAGCCCTGCAAAAAATAAAGACAGTGTTCATTGGCTCAAGAGCTCAGAGTTAGTTATAAGAGAGAAATTTGGCAGAGCTCAGGAGGAACAGACACACAAGGAGAAATAACACACATTAGAATTGGAAGTCAGTGTTGAAGCGTTGGTGAGGTGGCTTGATGACAGGCTTTGGAAGTTGAACAAACTGAAATAGGTAAGAAAGGAGATGTACTTACTGTAGTTCTGGAAATAGAGATCCAATGTTTCAACAAAAGTATTTAAATGACTCCAAAAGTTTTCTACACAGAAATCTTTATAAGTTGAATGAATACACAAACACCAAAGAAAAATGAATATATGCCCATCACTATCATTACATTGTCTATGTCAACAAGATAGGAAATATGTGTGCTTCCACTCTGCATCTCACGAAAATCGATCAGATTCAATGTAGGTGGAGCTGTGTAATTGAACCGAGAATATTTAGCATTACAGGGCAATTATGAATACTGTAACTTACCGGGAAATAAAGTGTGACCTCACAGGCAAACTCTACTGACATCAGTTTAAACTATGCAAAAACTGAAAGTAAGTAGTACGTATCCATTCTTTTCTTATAAGCTGCAGAGAGACTGAGTGTGCCAAAGGTATATAGGGTCCTTGTGGAACACTGTACCAATAAGAGTAAAATAACAGTTATGGTACAGAATACAGTAACCAAGCAGAAATAAATAGGAAAAGGAGAGAAGACAGAGGTAACATAGTTTGCCAGTTTCTTGTTATAACCAGAAAACATAACAGAGAAATCTTAGATTATTAAGTGAAAGAGGTATTAGTATTCTTGAAGAAATAAAGCAAAACACAATAGGACATTTAAAAAATATTTAAGCAAGATCTTGTGTTTGAGTGGAGGTAGGAAGTACATACATACTAAATTTCTAACTAAACAAATAATCTGAGTTGACACCAAGGATGAAAGACCAAAATGAGTTCCAAAGTGTTCTTTACCCTTGCAAATACCAGGGTCATGCATGAGCATTCTAACACACATACACACACACACACACACACACACACACACACACACACACTATTCACAAAGAAACAGATACTGTCCTCCTTGACTAAACACTTTCTCACTTCTTTCCCATGAAAGTAGTTCTCAGTATGGTCAGAAGTGATATCACCTTTGGACTTGTCCGACATACATTCTGAGATGCAGAGGTCCCAGGTCACATCTGTTGTGTCACAGACATTGGAGAAGCCCCTCCCTGCATTCCTCTTGGTCAAAGTGTTCTGTAGTACCACAGATAGCTTTTTCTTAGCTTTTTTTCTTCTCCAGTTTTTATGGTTTTTTTTTTGTTTGTTTGTTTTGTTTTTTGTTCAAGAAAGGGTCTTTCTATGTATCTCAAGCTGGTCTAGATCACTCTGTAGCCCAGGCTGGCCTTGTACTTTCTACCCCCTGCCTCAGCATACCAAATGCTAGCCTTATAGCCATGTACTGCTATGTTTCACTAAATAACTTTGTGTGCGTGCTATCAATCTTTGTTGAAATTAATTTAATTTCCTTTTTTATTTTTGCCACATTGGCCTTTGTATCTTTTCAGAAGTATCTCTTTGTTCACAGAAAACAAGATTACCTTCCTGTTTCATGAAGAAGATGAAAACAGCTGGGTTACTGTTGAGAACACCCGAGAGAACACCACACACCAATGTGTAGAATCAATAAGAACGTAATCTTGGCCCTGTTAACACTGACTAGTTCTGCATTTCTGCTGTTTCAACTGTACTACTACAAGCACTGTTTGTCACCAAAGCTAATTCTGTTTTTTCTTATTAGACATCATTGTCGCTTTGTGTTTTCTTAACATTTACATTGCAGTGTATTCAATTAATAGTGTTGAACCTTTACAGAAACATTTCTCACAGGGGTTCTCACCTTTGTAGGATGTAGTAGTCTCTTCAAAATTACAATGAAATATTTTTGTAATATACAATTAAATCAAAAGTAGTGTTTCAATTATATTTAATCTGGTCACATTTTCTGATAAATAAAACTTATTTTTCCACAAATTAGTATCAGTTAAATGAAATCACTGATAATTTTGATATGTTATCAAACTTACTTTATCTTATAGTGTGTGTTTTGATTTAGAATCTACCAGAGGAATTGCTGAAGAACTTTTCTTCATTGCTGTTTGTAGGACTGAAGATGTGGAGATACTGGTTTGCATCCAGTAACTTCTCATAGTAGTAAATGCCTGTAGCACCATGTTAGCATGACTACATAGCTTTCCAGGATCTTAGGAGAGATTACCCTAAGTCTGTCACAGTCTAGGGAAGGGGACTATTTGCTATTTTAGAGTAAAGAAGACCTACTTCTTCTTATGTTTGGAATTTCCTGTAGATGATCTCTAGGCCCTATCCACTTAACTAGATGAGTTTGTATTTTCTGTGGTCAACAAAGGAAACCAATCCATTATCTAATAACTAAAGGTAAGGAACAATTACACTGTATTTCATAGAGGGTTAAGCTTGACTTTTCAGATTCAGGACAGTCATTCAGGCTTTTGAAATGCAGACTAGTTTGTTTGGATGTTCTGTCAGGGAGCACAGCTCCTCATATACCCTTGGCCCAAGAACAGTCCTCTTTGACTGACTGAGTGCTCAATTTTAAGAGAGAAAAACATGGAGCAGTGAGGGAAGACGGGGACACCTGCCTGGCCAGCCAAATTAACCTGACAGTCAGTGGGGTAACAGATACCACAGTGCCATTCCCCTCATATCCTGAAATACAAACTCTAGTAGAATGGTAGTTTTGTGAGCATTCTATGGACTCTAATTTTCAAGTACTCTAGATATTCTTCAACTTACAGTAAGATTGCACCCTGATAAACTCATTATAGGATAAAAATATTGTAAGTAAAAAATAACAAGCCTCGGTACTTCCTAGACATCAAAACTTGAGAAATCAGGATGTAGCTCTTAGCTACTGTTCCAGCACCATGCATGCTGCCACAGTCTTCTCCATGATGATAATGGACTGACCTCTGAAACTCAGGTATCCCTGAATGGATACCTAGAGAGGCCATTGTATGAAGCTGTGAAGGAGAAGCCTAGATTGCCTGGGAGACCCCAAGATGTTGGAGATGCCAGAGTGGGATACCTGCTAAGGAGAGCTGCTAACAGGCAGTGGAACCAGCCTGAGAGAGAGAAGTGTGTTGCAGTCAACAAAGCTGAATGGAGTTGGAGATCTGAAGAGCACTTTGACATCAGACATGGAGATGCAGAGTTTGGAGTTTGCCCAGTTGATTTTTGGTCTTGCTTTGGCCCACTATTTCCTCACTGTGCTCCCTTTCCTCCCCTTTGGAACAGTAATGTATATCTTGTACCATTGTATGTAGGAAATATGTGAACTGCTTTTTGATTTTACAGAGGTTACAGTTAAGCCATGAGTCTCAGAGACTTTGGACTTTGGACTTTTGACTGTGGTAGACTAAAGGGACTTTTGCCATTGGACTAAGTGAATTTTTGCACCATGATATGGCTACAAGCCTATGGAGCCAGGGAGTGGAATGTGGTGTTTTGAATGAGAATGGCCTCCATAGGTTCATAGATTTGAATGCTTAGTCACCAGGGAGTGGAACTCTCTGATAGCGTGTGACGACTGTTCTTGGTTGTCAACTTGGCTACGTCTGGAATAAACTACAATCCAGAAATGGAAAAAAAAAAAAAAATAACAAGCCTCACCTACTAAACACCATAGTTTGGAATATAGTATGCTATGAAATTGAGTACCTTCATCATCATATGGCTGGTAATTCCACAGCACTGTTAGTATTGAATAGCCTGTCACTTGGCCAGGAAAAGACAAGAGTTCAAAATTTAATGTATTATTTCTATGCAGTGTATAATACTTCCACACCTATTGTAAGCTAAAACATTGTGAGTCTCCCTATCTGAAGTTGGGATCCATTCATAATTGGCTTACAGTTCATACCAAAAAGGAGAAGACGTGTTTCTAGGGATTATTTTCTTCTTGTTACACCTAACAGCTTAATGTGGTTTGAATTCAGGGCACTTGTCTAACTTGTATTTACTGATGACTTGTTAAGACCTAGGATATATAGCAGGAAAAGTGAGCTTAGCAGGGCAAAGGTCTTACTCTATTTGATAGTCATAGCAGTAGTAGTGATTCTCGTTTGTCGTGGGGTTCTCTGTGTAGCCCTGGTTGTCTTGGAACTAGCCGTGTAGCCCAGGCTGTCCTCAAATGCTCAGAGATCCACCTGCCTCTGCCTCCTGAGTGCTGGGATTAAAGGGGTGCACCACCACTGCCTGGCAGTAGTAATTCTTGAGTCTGGGCTCAGAGTTCAAGTCTTTGTTCAGTCATCTGGCTTTCAGCTGGTCACTTCTCTGACCTTTGATTCCTTTGGTTGGGATTCTTAGCAACATTACCAACTGAGCTAAGCTAGTCTACTTGATGTGATGCATCTCACTTAGTGTTTTCTACAAGATAATAGCTTCTAGCAGCTTATTTTTCCTACTGAAGGTTTACATTACCATTTTGAAAATAAAGTTGAGAGGCTAGTGAGATTGCTCAGTGGTAAGGTCACTTGCCTCACTTCTGGTCAATCTGAGTTCAATGCCTGGAACCCACATCGTAGAAGAAGAGAACCGATTCCTGAAAGTTGTCCTCTGACCTCCGCACATGTGCTCTGACACACCTTCTCCCACCCCTTAATAAACTAACAAACAAACAAATAAATAAAAATAAGTTTCCGAGAGGCAGAGGCAGGCGGATCTCTGGGTTTGAGGCCGGCCTGGTCTACAAAGCGAGTTCCAGGAAAGGTACAAAGGTGCAATGGTACAAAAAGAAACCCTGTCTCGAAAAAAAATAAAATAAAATAAAAAATAAAAAAATAAAGTTGAAGTAAGTGATTATAGAGTCCTTGTGAGCCTTTTTCTCACTGTTTTATGCATGAGTTAACTCAGATCTAGATTGAGTGTTTCTTGCTCATGATTAAAGTGTTCAGGACGTAAAGCTTGTGTCTTTACTGAAGTATAAGTAAAAGTCTGTCTAAACAGAGTATGTTCAGATTGGCAGATATGAGATGAAATGGCTTTCAGAATGCTGTACGACAGTTGAAAATATTGGGGTTGATGGCTAAGTAAAAGACAAAGCAGTAACTGGAGCAAGCCTTATAGTGTTCTTCCTAATCAGACAAGCCACCCCAGTGCCTTCAGCATTTGGCTCTTTTTATTACCTAGAAGGCCACTCACAGGCTATTATGCTGGGCTAGCTTCCCATTTGTTCAGTAATTCATTTTCCGTTAGAGGGAGAGATTTGAAAGAAGAATGGCAGCAGTTGTTCACAGTAAACAACTTCCTATGCTATTATTAGGAATGGAAACTAACCTTTTAACCATGTAGAACATATGCAGCAAAGACTTTTAGAATAGTTTTAAGTGGGTTGCTTGTTAAAATTGTGCAAAGATTTTTCCCTTGATCTTTGACTTTTGTGGTAGCTGACAATTTCTTGTAACTCCAGTTCCAGGAAAATTAATGCTCTCTCTGGCCTCTGCAGACACTTCACACATATGGTATATGTGTATAGGCAAAATACTCATAAACATAATAAATACATTTTAAGTAAAAACTACTAGATTTGGTGGCAGTAGTGGCACACTCAGTACTCAGGAGGCAGATCTCTGAATTCTAAGACAACCAAGACTACACAGAGAAACCTTGTCTTGAAAAAAAAGAAGGCTCATAGACTCTGAGACACCAAAGAAGTGAACCTAAAAAGAGAGAGTGTCTTGAGACATTGCAGGAGATGTCTGTACTATGGATTCAGGAGAGTCCAGTAAATGAACCGTTCCAGTGAGGCAGATGCTACCAAGTTTTGGTAGATGAAATGAGATTAGGGCTACCAACCAATGGAATTAGCATTGTGGAGGTCAGTGGTAGTTGTGAGTGTCTGGCAGAGCGGGTTTGAGCTCAAGTGAATTGATAAGAAAGAATTAAAGGCAATGAGAGCGACATTGGGAGTTTTGCACCATGGAGAAAAAGAAATTGTTGGAGGAAAGATCTGTCATTAGGTTTTGGTTTGTTTTGTTTCTTGTTTTAATTAATTTTAATGGGAAAAATAATTTCGGGTTTGTATATCCATAGGAATGGTCCAGCAGAGCAATGTCTTTGGCCAAGCAAGAGGGCCTGAGATGTAGTCAGGAGAGAAGTGGCTGTAAAGAGGAATGTAGGCAGTTCTTCTCTTAGGAGAAGAGGGCAGTCAGACTGTTTGAATGTAATCTCAGTAGGTGGTAAAGTATTGGGAGGTTTTGAAAGGTCTCTACTTCCTTTTCTTTTCTTAGGAAATAGAAAGGAATGCAATATGGTGGCAGAGGGGATGTGGAAAATGTTTTAAACAGAGAAAAGAGCAGAAAAAGTCACCTAAGAGAAGGAGAGGATTAATGCCAAGGAAATGAAATGTAGCACTGCTCAGCAGAATGAAGGCCTCCCCAACATTCCTGGAGATCCGGCAGTGACACCAGTTTACAGCTGTTGTTAGCTGTGTGCTTGCTTGTGCAGACAAGTGAGGAGTTGGATTCCCTTGCTTGTTTTGCTTTGTTTTGTGATGAAGGGTCTCACTATGTAGTCCAGGTTGGCCTAGAACCCACTAATGATCTTCTGGCCTCAGCCTCCGAAATACTGGGATTATAAGTTTGTTCCACAGTGCCCAGCTGTGAATATGAACTGTTTTCTGGGATTTTTTTTTTGTTTGTTTGTTTTGGTTTTGGAGTTTGGGGGGATTTTTTTTGTGTTTTTTTTTTTTTTTCTTTTTTACTAAGCAAGTAAAATAGTGGCAAATTGTGAGTTTGTAGGAGGGCTTGCCTTACAAAACATGGTTTTTGTGACAGCATTGTTCATAATGGTGTCACAGAGGAAGTAGACTGGGGAGTGACTGCTAATAAGAATGTAGTTTTGATATGGTCTAAAGTTCTAGGTAGAGGTGATAGTAACACTACTGTAACTATATGTTACTGCTGTCCTTGGAGTCATGAACCTGAGAGAGTAGGGCTTAAGAATGAGGTGGGCTAAAGTCTCCTTTGATAGCCAACTTTATTCAGAGCATCGGACTATTATACTCTGAGGGTTAAGTGCTGCAAGCCACAGGAAAATGTAATGGAATTCAGCTATCACAAAAACTACTACTTGGAAAGGTCAAGGAATTTTCCTAAGGTCAAGCCATGCCTTAAGAAGTCTTGGTGATATTTTAGCTGATATATATATATATATATATATATATATATATATATATATATATATATCTTAGCTGATTCCTGCAATGATTTCCTTGTATGCTATGTATGCTTCCAAGAACTCATCATGGTGTATTTTATTGGAAATACCTACCAAGCAGCCAAGGCCAAATGATCTTCTGAATTAAGGTAAATTAAACTCAGACCCTCCTTTCTTATAAAGCCTTAATGGTATTTATACTAACATTATAGACTCCTAAAATTTACGTAACCACCCCTAGGAATGTAGTTTGAACACATAAATTCCCTTTTTCTGTTATATTAACCATTTTTAGCTCTTAGTGGTCCTCCTGCTTTACCTCTCCTCCTTTGGGTTATAAAAGAAAGCCTGACAGTCACTGCCTGAAGAAAACTCTTGTCTGCCTTTATGACCCTGTAAGAAATCAAGCCTGGTGACCTTGCTTTAGCTAGAGCACTGCTATTGCCTAGGTATATAACAGTAAACTTCAGAGACTTGAGGAGGATTTTGAGGATTTTTACTAGAGAGGATTTTGATTTCTTGTTTTTTGGAGTTGTCTCACAAGCACTCATAATTCCTCTTGCATGACTCCATTTTAGACTGTGTTCCAACATCCATACATTTAACTATACAGTTAACTATACATTTTAAAATGGTAGGATTTATGATATATGATCTTATTCCAGTAAATTTTGTATAAAATAATCTACTAGCTTAGAAATGTACTTACTCCAAACTCAACCAATTCAACTGCTTAAAATTTCAGGCTCCTCTCCTAATGTAGGGCTGTAGTGAAAATCAAATGACTGTCTACAGTTTCCATCACTTGTGAGGATTGAAGATTACAAAGTTCCCTGTGTTTCTATTTTTCTGTTGTTTGTTTCTCTCAGATGTCCATTTGTATTAAATTGTACAGTCTACAGTGCAGATCTTGTGAGAGACTGAGTCAGGCTCTGCCTTAATGACTCTTCCCTCTTCCTTTCTCCTCCAACTAACAATTTCTTACTAACATTTATTTAACCGAGCAGTAGGCCAGACATGGTAATACAAAGACAGCTTGGCCTTGGCACCTGGCGTTGAGTGTGCAGGTTAACAAGAAGACGAACCTTGTTTTTAGAAATCTTGTTTCACATTGTGTTTGTAGGATGAGGCGATTCTAATTGTCCGTCAGCTTCCTCTCGGTTATTTATACTTCACAGGTAGAAAATCAATGAAAGCGTAAGGAGCTGTCAAACTTCTCTGAGCTTGAAACACTCTTCTTATCTCTAGACCATCCAACATTCTTTCTCTTATTTATTTTTAAACTATTTGGAGGCATAGGCTATTACTACTGATAATATTGTTTTCTTCCTTCTGACTCTCTGAACCTGGACATTTAAAAAGTACTATTAACTTATAAGGACCCCAGAACATTTGAATAATAGTGTACATTATGAAAAGTGTGGGTATTGGGACCATCTCTCTACTAGAAATAATGACTTTGCTTTGCAGTGGGAGAGGGACCTTTTATTTTCATTTGGAAGTATCAAACAGAACCTGATACTTGAGATTTGCTCATTATACTTTTTAAACCTCATTTTCCATCTCATCACTAATTCAGTATATGGAGATGCAGTTAGGAATATGGAACTACATAGACAAACCCTAATTTCATAGAGATAGCAGAAAACCAGCTGGTTCATGCTGTAGTCTCAGGACTTGGGAGACTGAGGCAGGACAGAGAGAAGGATTAAGGTGGATGAGGAAAGAGGGGGACACAGACCAACATAGGAATGTGGATCCAGATGCTATTGCTTGATGGGCATTCACTGGCCATACCATTGAATAATTTCAGAGTGTGGGAGCCTGTTCTCGGGTTCCTCATGGCTTTACCCAGCGGGTCCGCATAGAGGATGATTAGGACCACGGGCCTGAGTGCAGGTGTCTGAGATGGTCTGCACTTGGTTGTGCTGGGGGGGAGGTCTTTTGCTCCACCCCTTGGGGTCTCTATAAAAACCCTGGGCCAGAGACAGTCGGGGGCCATTGGAAAAGGTTCTAGTCCGTCTCTAGGCTATCCTTTATTTCCTATCTGTTTATCTCCGCAAGATTCTCCAGTATAAATCCTTCTATCTAATATTTCCTGCTGTTCACACTCAAGAAAACTCTGGGGAACTGTGAGGTTGGTGGGTGAAGGCCCCACATCAGAGCAGCTCATGCAGCACCCGCCATACCAGCTCATAGAGCCGTCATACTCTTATGGCACTCAGGCACTATCTCCTCCCTCCAGCCCACACCTGCAGTGCCGAAGGGGTCTTATCTGCCCCAGCAGCCTGCGCGGGTCATTGATCCGTAGCTCCCCACCCCGACACAACACCTCACCTAGACCCCACTACCATCTTCCTTCCCTGTTATACCATTTTTCAGGTGTTAGGAGAGAAGAATTGTAAGTTTGCTTTCTGCTCTTCCTACTAACATCTACTTCATAGAAACTAATGGGAGGACACTAAATGAGCATTCTTCTCCATCGGGAGAAATTTGTGTTAATTTTCAGAGTCCTTAGACCTATTCTCCATTCCCCATACCTTTGTTTTGCTACTTCCTTCTTTTCCCACTACCTTCTGTTTACTACTGTCCTTTTTACAATGTTCTGGCAAAAAGCAAATCAAGACAAAAATATGGCTTCCTTAATGGTGTAACGATTGCTTTAGTTTTGTTACTAGTATTTGGTTTTAAATATTCAGTCTTGATCTTTTCCTTATTCTAGGATGGCTGGTTTCAGATAGCTGAGAATGTGGGATTTCAGTGCTTAAAGACTGAAAGCAAAGATCCTCAGCTAGATGGAATCGACTCACTTTCTGGAACTGAAATCCCTCTGCACTATGTCTGTAAGCTGGCCACTCACGCCATCCACTTGGTGTTCTTTCATGAGAGGAGCGGCAACTACCTCTGGCATGGTCATCTGCGGCTCCAAGGACACATGGACAGAAAGTTTGTTCCTTTTCGAAAGTTGCAGTTTGGTTGTTATCCTGGAGCTTTTGATAGGTATGTCAGTCTATGAGAATAAACAATAATAAATCAGTGATATTGTGTGTTTATAGTTATATGTAATCTGCATACTCCTACATTGAGGTATTATATGTCAGCGAAATCTGCAATTCTGCAACAGCATGGTTGGGTCCTACAATGCTGAGTGTCCCAAGGCAGAAAAGAATAATAGCATATGCTATACTGTGTTCATGCATATATTTAAAATAGAAAAAAGATACTAAGAATAGTAAGGAAAGGTTACCCCCAAAGAAGATAGAATGTATCCCTAGAAGGGGAAGGATAGACAGGGAGTTACTGAGTGGGGTACAGAGACATCCAGGGGAGCTGACAAGACTCTTTGTCTATGATGAAGATGAAGACACAAATGATTGTAACAATGATGTAATTGTCTTTGTTTACATGCACTTGACTGAGCGTGTGTGTGTGTGTGTGTGTGTGTGTGTGTGTGTGTGTGTGTGTGTGATTTTAATTTCCCTGTGTCCTGAGGTGGTGACTCACACCTGTAAACCTAGCACTCGGGAAGCTGAAGCAGGAGAGTTGCAAGCCGCAGGTGAGGCTGGGCCAAGGAACAAGTTGCAGGCCAGCCTGGCTGTAATCATGAGACCCGGCCTCAGAAAACTAAGACAGATCATGGGAATAAAAATAATACTCTGTGTAGAAGTCTGTCCTTAACTACCTCACTAATAAACACTGCTGACATGAAACAGGTACTTGAGGAGACTCAGGAAACTGGACTGTGAATGTTAGCTTTCTGACCCAGAGTCAGACTTCTCTTTCTCCTCAGAAGTCCTTAATAATGATGTTATAATCTGTTTGAAAGTCTGGAACTTGATATGAATATAGCAGTGAATGTTTGTCCTTTGCTTTAAAGTCTATCATTCTTATAAGAATTTTCATATCAATATCTATTGCGACCACTTTCAGAGAAACACTGTAAGGACAAGGTTATTTTTGTTTTCTTGTTAGTGTTTAACATCACGAATTTGAGAAACAGCTGAAAGGGTGTTCAGAACTGGGAAGTCAGGAATATAAGTGACCAAAAGCGATTAGTGGGTTGTAAGAAACAGTTTGTTGTCTGTGTTTCTCCCTTTATTTTTGTCGAAATCTTAGCGACTATTCACGTTTATGCACTTTTTCTTACTTTGTGTTTCAAACATTTTTAAGGGGGTGGAGTCATTGAGTTCTTTAGGGTATTAAAAGTTTATATCAAAGTTTAGTTAATAATTTAATTAAGTTTAGTATTGCCAACTAATAAATAACTTTTAAGTGTAATGTGTGACAGTAGATAAAGCCATCTGTATATTTTATAGTTTTACATAGAGGAATAGAAAGTTCTCAAGAAATATTCATAGAGGGTGGGTTCCAGGTATCTTTCTAGTCAAAGAGGCTCCCAAGCTACTATAATTTAACTCAGTATTTCTTAGATGTAAGAACTATTTACCTCTCTAAAACTAAATTGGTAACCGAAAATGATGTTGTTCAACTTTCATTTCTGCTTAAAATGCCAAAGTAGCTGTAAAACTATTTTAGATGCACCAAGTCAGGCCTAGTGGCACAGGCCTATAATCCCCACTCTTGAGAATCTGAGTCAGGAGGATTGCAAATCAGTGCCAGCTCTGTCAACTTAGGGAGAATTTGTCTTAAAAAAAAGAGGGGTGGTGTAGCTCAGTGGTTGCATGCAGAAGGCCCTAGGTTCAATCCATACCATTCCCTCCTCACTCCCAAATTAAGCTGCATTAGTGAAAATACTTAATACTGAAATTCTGTGCTGCTATTGGATGTCAGATTTCCAAGGTCCTAAAAAAGTTGTTGATTGATGCCTGAAGTGTTTGAAGAAAATTCACTTGAAGTTTAGCTCCTTGGCTAATGTCCACTATTTTAAAAGGCTGCCTGTGTTCTGGATTAAATCCTGATAGTTAATCTTAACTTTCCTTTTCAGGCCAGAGTTACAGCAAGTTACTGTAGATGGACTAGATGTGCTTATTCCAAAAGACCCAGGACACTTTCTGGAAGAAATACCACACTCCAGATTTATCGAGTGCAGGTATAAAGAAGCTCGGGCATTCCTTTATGTTAGAGACGACCAAATAATGTAGTTCTAAATTAAATTAATGAGAATTAGGGCTCATTTAGTTTTTAAGAGGAAGTGAAGATGGCTTATGCGGAATAGGTTTAAATGTCTTGTTAAGTTGATCATTTTTTATCCTACTAGTTTCTTTTCATTTAAAGTTAAAAACTTCATTTTTCCCCTAAGGGTTAGGGGTGTAGTGTAATGGGTTGAGTGCTTGTCTGAAATGCACAGGGCTTGAGTTTGATTTCCCCCACCACATAGATCAGGTGTGGTAGCAGGTGCCTATAATCCCGGCACTTGAAAGATGGAGGCAGAGGGTTGAAGGTAATGTTCCACTATACAGTGAGTGCAGAGGCAGCCTGGACCACCAAGAGCCTATCTCCAACAGGAAAGCATAGATTCTGCTGGCTGTTAAGGCAAGTTTGTAACCCCAGCACCCAGCCAGCTAAGGCAGAAGATCTCAGTTAGAAAGTATCCCTGGGATTCACACTTGGACACAAGCACACAGGCATGCACACACAGTTTCTTCTTCCCTGAATGGTGTCTGCTTCATTTCTTCTTTGCTTGGGTTTTTTTTTTTATTTTGGGGGGTTGACGAGCCCACTGTGGGCAGTGCCAGCCCTGTGCATATGATTTGGGGTTGTATAAATTATAGCTGAGTAGGCCGGTAAGTAGCATTACTTCATGGGCTCTGCCTTGGTTCTTTCACTATTTGTTTGTTTGGTTTTTTTTTTTTTTCGTTTCTTTCTTTTTTTTTTTTTTTTTTTTTTTTTTTTTTTTTTTGAGAGAAGGTTTCTTTGTATAGCCCTGACTGGAACTCACTCTGTACACTAGGCTAGCCTCGAACTCAGCAATCCACCTGCCTCTGCTTCCAGAGTGCTGGGATTAAAGGCTTGTGTCTTCACCAACCAACACTTTTCTCCCCTGAGTTGTATTTTGATCTTAGTTTTTATCACATAATATAAAGCAAATTAGGACAAATAGAATATGAAACTAAGTATCAACTTTTTATTGCTGCCCAGTATCCAAGACTCAGATACAAGGGTCTCAGACACTGTATGAGACACCCAAGACTTCAGCCTGACAGCCCAACGGGGGGGGGGGGGGGGGGGGGGGGGGGGGAGGAGGAGGAGGAGGTGGTGGTGGTGGTGGTGGAAGAGAAGAAGGAGGTGGAAGAGGAGCTGGAGGTGGTGGTGAAAGAGAAGGAGGTGGTGGAGGTGCAGGAGGAGGAGGACGTGGAGGTGGAAGAGAAGGAGGAGGTGGAGGTGCAGGAGGAGGAGAAGGAGGAGGTGGAGGTAGAAGAGAAGGTAGAGGTGGAAGAGAAGGTGGAGGTGGAAGAGGAGGAGGTGGAGGTGGAAGAGAAGGAGGAGGAGGAGGAGAAGGAGGTGGTGGTGGTGGTGGTGGTGGAGTTTGGTGCTTCCTGCTCTAAAGGAGGAGGAGGAGGAATTTATGGAGTTTGTGCTTTCTACCCTAAGGGCATTGCCCAACTCTTCCATAGAAATTACCACAGTGAACTGTGAGTGTCTCATACCCTCCTAATTCTGTGAACTGAACAGCAGGCACCTATTTTATTCCCGGTAGTCGGTTGCTGCCAGGCCATTTGTGGTGCCTGATTTGTTTGATTTCTTTTTCCCTTCTGACATTGTATTGATATTACTAATGTGGAATCACTATAAGGCTTGGTCATGTTCTTTATCTTTTTCCTCTTACATGTTTCATTCTTTGTTTCTTATGTTAGAACGATAATAAATAAGTAAAAGACCAGGAGGGTCCACTTTCAAATTAAAGTGAAATACACCCATTTGTACATTTGATGGCGCCAAACAGTCTTCAATGAAGTGAAATACACAGTATGGTTATAGCAATGAATTAATTAAATTTTAAAAAACAAAGAAGCAAAAATCTAGTAAAGTAGTCCCCTAGCTTTCTTATTTTATTTAATAAAGTTTTTTAAAAAAGAGTATCAGACTTACATAACAATTTTTACTACAGTACAAATAATATGTTTTGTTTTGTTTTTTGGTGCATTTGAGAGTGAGCTATAAATTAGTGTCCTGAAACCTCAAATAACTCAGTATTTTCCAAAAACCAGAATATTCTCTATATCTGAATTAAAAAAATCAAGAATTAACATACATTGCTTTTAATCTCAATCTAACTCTGTGTGGTAGCACATGCCTGTAATTTCCACACTTGGGAGGCCAGGACGGGAGGATTGCTCAAAGTTCAAGGCCTGCTAAGACATATAGCAAGACCAGTTTTAAACATCACCAAGAAGCTCTCCAGTGTGTAAGTGACACTTAGGAAAGCTGTGTGCCCTACCTAGAGCTCCTAACAGCTTCGAGGACACCATCAGTGTCAGACCCTAGAAACTGTTGATGCCCTCATAACCTCGGGGTGAGGCCTTGTGAAGCTTGCAGCTTTTGGGGGGTTCCTGTGACCTTTAGTTTTCATTTACTTCCTGAGTCCTGTGACCTCCCTTCTCCCCTGGTGGAAATGTTTAAGTTCAGAGGAAGGGCTACAGAACACTGTTGATGTTTACATCACTCACCCAGTTTTCAAGTCTTAAAGTCTTTTGTGACTTTGCATTTTTCCCTTTGTAATTACAAGTATTTGTTTGCAAGTTACTTTGCAACTATTTAAATATTAACATTTCTCATCCTTTACTTCTTTGATATGCTCAAATTTTATGAAAATTGGTTTTTGCCCTGTGTGTTTGCTCACATTCTAAGCGACTTCATGGCTTCTCTGTTGTCTCTTGGGTAAAGTGTATAGGGTGGGCTTGTGGAGGAAGTGTTTCATCTGGTCAGTGGTTCCTTTGATATTGTACTGCTGCTGGGTCTGGGCTGGAACCCGAGCCTTTGAGTGACAGGGTTCCTCTCTGGGGAGACTGTGGACAAGAGGGTAGAGTGGCTCATCCACGTTTTCTTAAACTGTTTGCAGAAACTTTCAGAAGGCATCAGGCTGAACCTCCCGGCAGTACAGTATTCTTGTATTTGTTAACGTTTGTGTTTAGGTACTGGTAACTTTTTTAAAAAAAATGTTGTAAGTGTTGGCTTTAAAGTGAATTTATCTTTAGTATGATAGTTATATGAAAATTATAGGGTTTGTGTGCAGAGAATTTTTTTATAAAGTACTTTGTAAAAAAAAATAAATATTAACATTTCTCATCAGATTTGTTATTTAAATAAGAAACTCAAGGTTTCCTGTTTTCATGAGTTATAGACCCTTACTTTTATCATTGATTTTAATCTGAAGATTGTTGCCTATGTGGCTGTTAGAAGACTCTTGACCACAGCTTCTGTGTCTTCTGTCTTATCTCCATCTTTCTTCATTTTTAGCAAAACATAGATATTCTAAGTTCATCTTGTGAATTTCCTGTCTCAGCCCTGGGTTCAGCCATTTCTCTGAGTCGTGGGTCCTTGTATAAGCCAAGATCTGGACAGTAGGGAGCATGCCCATTGCTGTTTGGATTTTCCTGTACACAGGCCCTCTCACTTATCAAGGACATTATGCATGTGTCTGTTTATATTTATTTCTAAATCTGTTTGATGAAATTTATAAATTCAAATCATTATCTCCAGCCCAATTAAGTTGTCAGATCTAACTAAACAACATTGGATGACCCGTCAGGGGACTCATTACTGGAGAGATTGGATTGTCCCTCTCAGCAGCCATTAATTGTCAGTAGCTCTTCATCTAGGGTTGGAGCCTTGTGGAATTTCCCCCATCCACACTGTAATGTCAGCTGGTGCTGTCATTGTACAGGTCTTGTTTAGGTGACCATATTGTTAAGATTTTTAGGTACACATCCCTGTTATCTATAGAGAATACTCTCTCATAGTAGACATGCTGATCCTTTCACTTGTAGAGTCTTTCTGCCCCCTTTTCCATGTTTCCTGAGTCTTCGATGTAAAGACTGTGTTATAGATGTATTAACTAGAGATGGACGTCCCGTGCTCAGCTGTTCATTTCTGGGTTGACTCCTCCAAGCCCTGGGTCTGATGTGTGTAGTGTCTTCAGCAGTAAGGTCTTACCTTCATGTTCTGGAACACAACCAAGGACGAGGACTTACATTGTTTGGGGGGCTTTTTTGGCTTCTTTTGCCTACCTTTTTGAAGGGAGGTTTCCCATAAGGCAAGTGTTCTTTAACAGAGAGGAAATTGTAGCTTTAAGATGCTTTTATCATTGACAGGCATTATTGGCATAGCACTTAATCTAAATGATAGATAGTCTATAAATGTGCAGCTCTAGGCATCTCTCTTAGAACAAGCACAAGAATGTGGACCTCTTTCCAGTCATTTGTTCTAAAAGAAGTAGTGACTAAGGAAAGGGATATTTTATTTCAGGATATTCTGTATAATTTGCTTAATCCATAAAAACTGCTTTCCTGCAGGGAGCTTTCTTTCATAGGATACTCTTTCTTCCCTCAAGATCCATGTAGCGATTCTATTCCTTGTAGTCCCAGGGACATGCCTCTGTGAACTATATTCTCTCCTGCTCTGTTGTAAAAGAGAAGAAATCACATGATATTTAGGATACTGTCAGAGTTAGTCATTTGCTGTGGGATAATGCTCTTGTACATTGGTTTAATAAAGTGCTGATTGGCCTGTAGCCACACAGGAAGTATAGGCAGGGCAGGCAGATGAGGAGAATGCTGGGAAGAGGAAGGGCTGAGTCAGGCATCAACAGCCAGACACAGAGGAAGCAAGATGACAAGGCAGAATTGAGAAAAGGTACCAAGCCACGTGGCTAAACATAGATAAGAATTATGGGTTAATTTAAGTGTAAGAACTAGTAAGTAATAAGCCTGAGCTAATGGCCAAGCAGTTATAATTAATATAAGCCTCTGAGTGATTATTTTATAAGCATCGCAGGACCTCAAGACCGGGTGGGATCCAAAAAACCTTACAGCTACAATCATTTCTTCATTTAGGCACTCAACAATATTTGTTGCTAACCTACTGTGTACCGGGTGGCATTCTAAAGCTGTTGATTCAGTGAGGGAGAAATGCAGTACCAGTTCTCATATGTTTACAGCCTCACTGGGGAAATGAAACAAAACCAACAATTACAATTAAATATAAGAATTAATGCCGGGCGGTGGTGGCACATGCCTTTAATCCCAGCACTGGGGAGGCAGAGGCAGGCAGATCTCTGTGAGTTTGAGGCCAGCCTGGACTACCAAGTGAGTCCCAGGAAAGGCACAAAGCTACACAGAGAAACCCTGTCTCGAAAAACAAAAAAACAAAAAAAAAAAACAAAAAAAAAAATTAAAAAGACAGAGAACTAACTCAATACTTAAGAGCAGTGGCTGCTCTTCCAGAGGACCTGTTTTTTATTCCCTGCACCCACATGGCAGTTCACAACAGTTAATAACTCCATTCCCAGGAGTTCTGATGTTCTCTTCTTTCCTCCATGGCCACCAGGTATGGACATAGTGCACAGACACGCATGCAGGCAAAACTCATATACATAAAATAATAAAAACCAAAATTTAAAGACTTAAAATTTCTGTGTAAGTGGCAACCATTATAAGTTCATGGAGGACCTTACTATTTTGCTTGGCTTTATGTATAAGCAAATGATGAATGGAAACATTGGTGAAACACACTCATCTGTCTTTTTAGGGAAATGAGGATATTTCTCAGAGGCTGGAGCTGAAACATGATTTTGTTAGTCACAGGCATACTGAAAAAGAAAGCAACATATAAACTCACATAGACTAGAAAGGCTGTGGTATATTGGAGAAGTTATATTTTGTTATTATAACAGGACATGTAAAAAGAGGCTGGTGATGAGGCCAGACAGTAGCCAGAAACCTGTGTCCCTGGTCTGCTAGACCAAAGAGTTGATATTTTGTTCCATAGTGAAATATCACTGAAGAATTCATGCTGTTTTCTTCAGTTACAGACTAAAATGTACTAAATCAGAAAACTAAAATGCCTAAGTAAAAGATAGCATTAGTATAAATTCTTATACTTTACAAAAGGACTTTCATTCTGATCTGTACAGTAGTTGTATAAAGCATAGTTATTATCTTTAAGTTATAAATGAGGACATTAACCACAGTGAAATTTGTTTCTTCCATTCTGTTGTTCATTTTTCAGATGTAGAGATACTGTTCTAGACACTGGGGTATTTTTTACAATACCCCAAACAAACGTCCCCTCCTTATAGAGCTTACACTCTTGTAAAATGATCTGCCCATCCCAAAGGAAATGGACCTAGAGTCCAACACAGATGGTATGATTTAAAATGTGTCTTTCTGCTTGATGACCCAATCTGTAAAGACAAGTAAACAACTGCATCTAAAACATCATTTAATCTATTTGGTTTAAATAATGCTCTTGGCTCTGTAATTAGCTCTTCTTTTCTCCTACTGCCCAACCTGCCAACTTCTGATGTACATAGGAAAAGGATAACAGTTTCAAGTCTCATCGTTGGGGAACCCTTGTTATTTATATTTCTTCCTCTTAACCTAGCAGACCCTAGAATCTATTTGAATTATTTTAATGGGTGACTAAGAAGTAACTATAAACTTTGATTTCTTGGCTTGTGGTGTATATGCATTTGTGCCTGTATGTAGGTATGTGGGCACACTTGTGCACTTGTGTCTGTGAGGCCAGAAGATGGAATTAGGTGTCTTCCTCTATTACGTCTTGATTATATCCACTCCCAGGATCCCTATACTCCTGCCCTATACACCCTCTTTCCATTTTCATGTCTTCTTATTTTTATAACTCCCAGAATCCAACTAGTGCTTCCTACATGCACTTGGGAGTGGGGCCATGCACCAGAGCTTGGGCATATTAGCAGCAGTCCACAACTTCTTCACCTTATTTTTTTGAGACAGTGTCTCACTTAACCTGGAACTGATGGACTGGCTAGACAGGCTTGCCAAGGAGCTCCAGGATCTGTTTGTTTCCATTCTCTCCCATCCCCACAGCATAGGCTTCATCGACCCATACCATGAATCCCAGCTTTTATATGGGTGTTGAGAATCCAAAGCCACTGAGCCACCCAAGCCCCCTACATTTGGATTTTTTTGCAGTAGAAAAAATATACAGTGTTAATTTCCAAGTTTAATTCAGATATCATAGAAAAGTGTCTAGCAGTTTAGGGATTGTTATAATAAATAACTGTTTATTAAACTTGCAGCATTACCTTGAGGATAACACTGTGGATGCTATGGCCTTTTGGAAGAGGGCAAAGGAATTACTGCAACTAGCTGCCAAAACATTACAGGAATTAGGAGTGCCCTTCTGGCTGAGCAGTGGAACTTGTCTAGGTAAAAATGCTTTCCTTTTATCTCCATCTCATCCTTTTGACTTTAGGAGTGAATGTTTGAGGTGATCAGACATCGGTGATATTGGAACTCTAATATTTATAAGCAGAAAAAACAATAATGTAGAAGTAAAGATGTGTTGACTTTTTTAAAGAAAGTAATTGGTGAAATATAAAATAGAATCTTTTTTTGGTTTTTTGAGACAAGAGTTTCTCCGTGTAGCTTTGTGCCTTTCCTGGAACTTACTCTGTAGACCAGGCTGGCCTCGAACTCACAGAGATCCACCTACTTCTGCCTCCCAAGTGCTGGGATTAAAGGCATGTACCACCACCACCCAGATAAAATAGAATCTTTTGAAAGACTTATTTGTTTATGTATTTTATGTAGAAATGTGCTCTATTTGAATATACACCTGCATGCTAGAAGAAGGTATCAGAACCCATAATAGATGGTTTTGAGCCACCTTGTGGTCGCTGGGAATTGAATTCAGGTCCTGTGAAAGAGCAGCCAGTGCTCTTAACTGCTGAGCCATCTCTCCAGACCTATAAAATAGAATCATAAAGGCAATTGTATTTACTAAAAGTTATAATAATGTGTACAAATTTACATCAGACATGTAGAGTATGTTTGGTTTTCAGGTATTCCTTAATGGCATTTGCTATTTCTATCTCCAAGATTATTATTGCTTTAAATTCAAATATTGCAGGAAACATTTAGTGAGAGGAAGATTGACAGACATGCTTTAAGGTCACCCATAACTTCCAGGTCATTAAGAGCATCACTGGTTAAGCATCACTGTTCACTTGAGATGGGGAAAGATCCTTTTTGTAGTTTTAAGCAGGCAGCTATTAGAATCTGAGAAAGGTTTTTGGAAACACCACTCATTACGTCAGCTTCCTGGAATTTAGAATTATTTAGACCCTTAAGATGGTTGCTTTTCTGTTCCTTCTCAATTTTTACTGTAGTTGATTATAATTGTATCTGTATTATTTTTAAATTGTGACTGTATTTGTAGAAAAGTTAATTCCAGTTAGTTCAGCTTTTAAAAGTTACCATAGAATTTATTTTCCCATTCAGGACACTTGTAGACTGAAAGGAAATGCCTTAAATAATTATGCAGGTGCAACTGGTATAACCTGATATTCGTGGCTGTCCTATATACTGGGCTATGTGAGAGATTACATGCTTAGACAGGGTGAGGCACACATTTTTAATCCAGCACAGAAGGTAGAGGCAGGAGGCTCAAAAGTTCAAGGCCAGCCAGGTGGTGGTGGTGGTGGTGGTGGTGGTGGTGGTGGTGGTGGTGGTGGTGGTGGTGGTGGTGGTGCACACCTTTAATCCCACCACTTGAGAGGCAGAGCTAGGCAGATCTCTGTGAGTTCAAGGCTAGTCTGATTTACAGAGTGAGATCCAGGACTGGCACCAAAACTACACAGAGAAACCTTGTCTTGAAAAACCAAAAGAAGGAAAAAAAGTTCAAGGCTATAGCAACATAGCAAATTCAAAGCCAGTCTAGGATATGTGAGACCCTGTCTCAACAACAAAACAGTAAAAGCATAAAAGAATACATGGTAATCTTTTGTGTGTGCATGTTTGCTTGGAAAACCTTTTTATAGAATCAAGTTTGTTTTTATAGTCAGTAGCTAAAATTGCTTAGTCGTTTGATTTGAAATTTTACCCTTGTGGTTTATTTCATTTATAAAATGAGAGAGTTATATTTGATGATACTATGTATTAAGTGATGTTTAAGGGCCCCTTCATTTTTAGGTTTTGGTGGGTCTTTTATGTTTTTATTTTGTTTTGTTTTAAGCAGGGTCTTACTATGTAGCAATGCTGGCCTAGAACTCTCTGTGTAGCCCAGGCTGGCCTTGAGCTTACAGAAATCCACCTGTCTCAGCCTCCTACTGTTGAGGTGAGTCCTGCAACACCCAGCAATCCCTTCATTTTTTTATAGTTCATAATTGTTTATTAGAATTCTTTTATAATTCCAAATCATATTTTGTAATAGCATTGCCTTCTGGGCTGACTATAGACACTTATGTACTTTAAAAGCTATTAGAGTGGAAAGGTTAGAAGCTAGTAGAGAGGACTCGAGAGTTACTAATAATGTTTAGGTGTAAGCTTTCTTAGACCATTGTTGAGGCACCTAAGCCAGATGTAGTTACACAAGAAACACTGAGAAATAACATTGGGTGTGCACTGAATATCATACCTTAAAAGATCTTTTATGTGACCCATCAGTTATGAGCTGTGGGAGGTGTTTAATACTATAGTTTATGGATTCAGGGAAGTATATTAAAATAATTAAATATTATTTTTTTAATTTATTATTTAAATTGCACTCATGGCATTCATTAATTACACTCATGATATTAATCACATTTGTGGTATTCATAGATTACATGCACAGTATTCATTCGATTTTATATATATATTTATTATTTTAATTTTAAATGCCAAATGTCAATTCTTGAAGGGGGGAGGAGGTCTTAAATACAGGCTTACAGCACAATGGGGGGACCCCGTCGGGCAGAAGTTCACTACTGATGTTTTACAATCTTGCATCTAAGCTGTTAATGCCTATTATTCAGGATACACAGACAAGGAACTTCCCTTAAGCATTCAGGAGTGTGGAACCTGGTAGGGAATTAGCATAGGGAGAATATCAAGGTCAAGGTAAGCAAGCAAAGCAACAGTTACACAAAACAGGGGCCAGGGCCCGACAGGTCCCCCTTTTATTAAAAAATGAGCTTCTGACTTGGGTTGCGTGGGACGTCAGCAGGTCACCTTACCCGTCATGGAGACACCTGCCCAGGCCACACAAGTGCTCTGTCCTAGGTTGGTGAGTGCCCCCCAGGCATTACCCCTCTCTGAATACTCATTATCATACAGTCTCAGTCATGTGTGAGCTGCATAGTTAATTGCTGCCAAGGATCTCAAAGTGGCACTGGGCTTGCAATCTGTGTGTCTGATACAGAAAAGACCAACAGAGGTCCTATCTCACCCATAGCCAGTAGGCTAAAGGCAAATGAGCCATTCCCTTCCTTAACAAGCCATACTGTACGTTGGAGTCCTTGTAAGATAGTATCCCAAAAGCAACTGGAACTTGAGTTTATAAATTTATAATTTTCAAAGCCAATCGAGATGTATATAACTACTGAATTAAATTTATCATGCCCAATAGAATGAAAGATTAACTAACAGTGGTAGCTACTTTTGTTGCCAGGGTCTCCATTGTGCTAGCTGTAGTAAGCAATTATGAAATGGTAATCCCAGAAATCATAACAGCAGTGTGCACCATTGCTATACCAGTAACAGCGGCAGCAGCAATGTCAGATTCTCTTCTGGACTGTGTGGACATCCACTGGCATAGATACAACTCCAGTAACACGAACCGCCAAGGCCTGTTTTTCTTGATCCCAGCATGACTTTAGCTGGCAGCTCTTCTGGAGAATCCAATTTCATGGCTACAGTTCCTAGGTTTACATTAATGCTTGCCAAAGCTGGCCATATTGGGCTCTCAGTCTACATTGGCATCAGAAGGGTAGATTTTTTTCATGAAGACCCACTAGGTCTCTGTCATGTTGGGGTTCAGCAGCAGCCAGAGGGCACGTTCAGTGCTTAGGAATCCAAAGAGGAACCTCATTGTCTTGAGGAAAGACATAAACAGAACCCTGGGGCCAGAACAACACTAGATCGGGTGATACATGCTAGTAGAAAGATCCTTCCATCGCTCCAGAGGGTGATTTGCAACAGGAGCCCTCCAGTGCTTATCTGCATTGGATCCTCCAGCAAAATCCACCAATAAACTCCAGCAGAATCCACCGATTAAAAAAAGTTTAAAATATATAAAACAAGGGAAAGAATAGAATGTGGAGAGGAATGATGAGTCCCTAGTTCTCCCGTTTTTTAACTTTAGTAAAATGTTTGTTTAATATTTCAAATTTTTCTTTTATTTTTATTTTTTTGTTTAAAATTAATTTATTTATTTTTCTATTATCAGCTTGATAGAGTATGTATTCTTATCTTAATAGTGAGATGTTTCATTGAGGCTTGCTTAGTAATTGAGTAAAACCGAAATTTATTATAAGCCACAGTTGTCCTAGGGACCTCCATGCTATATATATATAGCCTCTATGGTTTTGTGGGTTGTAGTCTGATTGTTCTTTATTTTATATCTAGAATCCACTTATGAGTGAGTACATACCATGATTGTCTTTCTGGGTTTGGGTTACCTCACTCAGGATGATTTTTTCTAGTTCCATCCATTTGCCTGCAAATTTCATTCCATTGTGTATATGTACCACATTTTCTTTATCTGTTCTTCAGATGACAGGCTTCTAGGTTGTTTTCAGGTTCTGGCTATTACAAATAGTGCTGCTATGAACATAGCTGAGCATGTATCTTTATGGTATGAATCAGCATTTCTTAGGTATATGCCCAAGAGTGGGATGGCTGGGTCTTGAGGTAGTTCGATTCCTAATTTCCTGAGAAGCCACCATACTGATTTCCACAGTGCTTGTACAAGCTTGCATTCCCACCAACAGTGGAGGAGTGTTCCCTTTGCTCCACATCCTCTCCAACACTGACTGCCATTGGTGTTTTTGATCATAGCCATTCTGACAAGTGTAAGGTGGTATCTCAGAGTCCTTTTGATTTGCATTTCTCTGATGATTAAGGATGTTGAGCATTTCTTTAAATATCTTTCAGCCATTTGTGATTCTTGTTTTTTGAATTCTCTGTTTAGTTCTTTAGCCCATTTTTTAATTGGACTGTTTAGTATTTTGATGTCTAGTTTCTTGAGTTCTTTATATGCTGTGGAGATCAATCCTCTGTCAGATGTGGGGTTGGTGAAGATCTTTTCCCATTCTGTTGGCTGTCTTTTTGTCTTA